ATGCCTCGAAGTATAACGCATCTGCAGTAACATATGAAACCCATTAAGCTGCTCAGAAGCTCGATTTGGACGTTACTGTTTTCGTCCTTCTTCTCTAAGGAGATCTCTTCTCCTAAGAAATCGAACTCTTTGATGCAATCTCTCCATTTTCGAACACCAATGTGATCAAGAACTCGGAGTATTTCATCCGAGTTCGGGTTAATTCTGTTCTCGAAGAGATTAAAGATCCAATAGACCGAGTCTATGGCCCGTTTGTCGTCCAGGTCGGGTCTTGCTTCGGATTTACGGGTCTGACGGATTAATAGATAGATTAGCTCGTTGACTTCTCTAGGTAAGTCAACAGACCGGACCGGAAACGTGTCGAGGCAAGTGGATATGGATCGGGTCAGGACCCGGAAATGAGCTGAGACTTGATCAGAGTTTATCAACATGTATAGATGAGCTCCTTCTCGTGTACAGTCTTCTAGGAGGAACTTGAGTTTCTGGAAGACGACGTGGAGCTCTGAAAGGCTCAAGATTGCTGAACGAGGGAACAAACGACCCGACCGTAGTGACCCGACCCGGATTTCCTCGAAGACGAGCACGAGGTTTTGGATATGCCGGAGAGTTTCTTTGACACTTCGTTTGTTGGTTGAGAAGTGTTTTGGTTTGAAGCTGAGAATCTCGCCGGCGATTTGTAATAGTGAGTCGAGGAGAGTGGATATGGAGATCGATTCGCATGGGTTTACTGCCGGAAAAGTTAGAATCCGGCGAGTCGACCCGGTTTGTGTATGGATCATAGTGTGTGATAAGGATAAAGATACTTTTCAAGTGTTTTTGAGGTTTGTATATGTTTGTGTTTATGAGAAGGATGATATATACACTTCGTGTGTGTGAGGTTTTTCAACTTTCTACAAGTTTGCGACACGTGAAAAGGTTTGATTCGTTGATAGTTTTAGGGGTCTATGAATTTGACACGTGGTGTACCGCGGCGATGAAGTGTGTGTAGGACCAAAGTTGTCGTGAGGTGCGTGCATGGAAGTAGCCGACAATTTTGTATGACGACCTTTCTGATATTTTTCATTCTTCAATGATTTGTATAATGTTGTTTTATCTATTTAGTTTTAGATAAGCACGCATTTCGATTGATTGAGTGATCCAATGATGTGTATTTTGTTTGCTCGATTTATTAAGAAATTTATCTTATTTTTGTTTTTCGCTAAAAGCATTCTCAATGCTAAAATATCTCACACATT